ACTGGTCCGAGATTCTGATCGGAAGACGGTAGGTGCTTCGCAAGTATCTCGTGCTGGCGATGTCCTCCAGCTCGTAAGAGGCGGTCGAAATTGTCCGGCCCCGTGGCCATGGCTGCCTTCATGGTCTGGATTGCGGCGCTTGCTGCAGCAGGTAGAATCCGTGGTGGTATTTCTCCAGTGGGGATAACGGGATTTGACACAAGTACTGATGAGCGGAAGAGATTGGCGTAAAATCTCATCGTGATCGATTCCTCTTCTGTCGGGAAGATGTGCAAGTTCCATCTTCGTATAGTGATGTTGTCAGGGAACACGGTAGTCGAGAATGTCCTGCAGTACTTCTTTAGACTTCTCCTTCCTTGTGCTGCTTCCAAAGGCCGATTGCCTGCCAAAAAACTTTTTGCAAAATAGTTCTGCAACGGTATTAGCTATTAGTCGCTCGAGATGTAATGCAGTCGGATCTCTCAGTGCTCTCCTCTTCTCCAGCAAATCCAAATTCCTGCTAATTCCTGTTTGGTATTGAGGCACTTCCACCACAGGCTCAGTCCTTTGAGAAGGAGGTCGTAGTCCTTTGTTGGGTTCGATGGGGCAGTCTATGTAGGAGCTCCTCCATTCTGAAGCCGGTGACAGATCTTTTCCAGCTGTCGGCTGAATAGCACTTTTGCTCGAAGGAAACTGAAACTGCTGAAGGATGATACCACTGAGACGTCCAGTAGCACCATCTTTGGTCGAAGAGAATGTGGTCAATCTCCGCAAGAGTCGTATGTCCGCCGCCGGTGTTCTTTCTTTATGAAGTTGAAGTTGCCATGAAAAAGTCGTGCGGCGTGTAAGTGCCAACAAGACCCTCAGCTGCTGATGTTGAAGAATGGCACCTGATGATAGTGATGGTTTTCTGATGCAGGGGACGGAGACGAAAGATAGCCAGACGAGGTAATATAATTTCAATAGAATCAACATGATGGACGGCAAATAAATGTACGACAATTCCAACGCCTCCCACATTCCATGATGGAACCTTATCACCACGAATGATGAGTGTGCCATCAATCAGCTGCCTCACGCCAGGATCAGTGGCGTCATGTTCAACCTGACGCTAGTCTTAGTTACATCCGGCGTCGGAGATGTAATCCCCTGTGGAGGGCTTTCTTTTCCTTTTACATGCTGTGCAAGCGATAGAATTAGTCCTCAAAATTAGCAGTCTTCCCAGACCTGCCCAGCTTTCACCACGAGCAATCGCTGAACTATGTGGACCAGGAAACCACCTAGCGACTAAATCAGTTAGGTGGCGCTTCTGGCTGAGCCTACACTTAGCTGGGCATCCAGAGAGCCGGATACGTCGAACACCTTCTCAGCTTGGGAGACCCTGTTGAAAGGTAAACCTCTGTTGTACTTCGCAATTCGATACCCAGAGTAGGTGGTAACAACCACGGGGGCCATAGATGAAAGAAATATTGATGTTGTTAGCTCGCGGCGGTCTCCTAGAACAACTTTAGGGAAATAGTTCGCGCCAATTGTAAAAGAGGTTGAACTAATCTCAGATTTTCAAACTTTTTGGAATCCCAGCTTCCTTGCAAGGCGATGGCCTCATTGTTATTTTAGAATACTTAGTTTTTATGCGTAGAAATTTAAAGATTGAATTTTTAATGCTTGATATTCTGCCAGCGCTACATGCCAGTCTAAAAGAAGCTATGCTTGTCAAATTCAAGCAGAAGAAAGCTGCCTAAGCTCAATAGAGCAGGTCCAATTTTCAGAAAGTCTTTTTCGATAACTGCAGCAATTTTGATGCTAAAACGTTTAGACAGACGTGTCTTCAAGGATGCGATTATATCGAAAAATGGCCAATAGTTTATAAACCTCAGTATTGCTGCATTAGCAGTTTTCCTATTTTATTCCGGATTGGGAGCGTTGAAAATGGTCACATATAGGAAAGACAGCCAAGTCTTAACTTACCAACTTTTGAAGAGAAATAAATGAAAGACGATTTTAACAGAAAAATTATCTTGATAAAATAATAATTTTTTATTTTCGAAAACAAGGTGGTGCCAGCAGGCGCAGTCATTTCAGCACCACTAATTAAAATATTATTGCTGCAGTTGAAAAGTTGTTCGCCACAAGGTTCCCAAAACCAGGCCTGCTTGAGTGCTCGATATGTAATAATAATTTAAGGAATGGAATCCTATTAACAAGGGTTAAAAGTTGCTTATACACTTTTTTGGAACCATTTCTTTATGCCTATTCAACTAAATTTTTAATTTTCTTACAAATGTGCGAACATAATATCCATTGTTGACGTTTTCAACAATGGCCGAATCCCCTTTTCATTTAGAAATGGCGTATACATAGCAGAAGAACCTTTTTTGTTTCAAAATCTGTAGCGTATTTAAAGGATGGGCTACAAACACTGGCTGTTGAACCTTTTGCAACATAATATGCGATTTGGGATGTGGAAGATTTGTTTTGTTGCTTCAATTTACTTAACAATACTTTACTTGCGGAATATCAGGTCTTCACCATCAAAAGAAGAGCATTTCACATTTTCTTTCCGGCTCTGTAAGTTTATACATTTTTTT